GATTTTTACCTTTCTACGGTGTTTCCTTAAATCACTAGGCTGATAGATGCATGCAAAGAAAAGAAATTTGGAAAAGCCATATTTATTGTAAACTGTAGCACAGACCGAAACAACTACTACAGACAAAACATTAGGGAGAATATAAATAACAATTACAGCAACGGCATAGAGAAAGATACAGAGTACGAAGTACTCTTCAAATCACAGGTTACTTAAATGTATCCCTGAAGAGGGTATAAGGAAGAAAAAAAAATAATCAAGACTTAGAGTTGGTTATCTACAAAAGTACCACAGCTATTGCAATGTATTGGGACCACAGGCAAACTAGCACACAAAACATGCATTATCTTCAGCAAGAAAAACAGTCAAGTATATAGGAGCGTGTAAAGTGCTGCTTTTAAAAGGTGAGAGGATTTCCTGCCGCATGTCAAGGACTCGCCTTGAACTCTATAACCTACACGGTAGCCAGAGCAGGCTTCATACGTCGTCTGCACTAGTCCCTTCTCACCCCTTCGCCATTTCTGCAGTTATTTCCTATACAGCATAAAAAGCAGCCGTACTTTAATAACTGTGAAAGACAGAGTGCCAACAATAGCTGATACAGTAACAGTGTTCTGTACTTTTTACTAAGTTTAAAGTGCTGGAATGTTGGGCCAAGAGGTACCACTGGTGTTATCTTATCCTCTGTATCTCACTTGTAGGTACTGCCCACCTCTGCCAGTGCACAGAGCAAGGCAGCAACCCCCAGTTACATAAACAAGTCATCAAGTTTGTCAGAATCAGTCTGAATAAAGTTTAATTGAGATCATTTGTTTAATAATTACCATCGTATTTGGGGAAAAATTATTTCAAAAGACTGTAACCAAAAATAAAGTCAGTCCCTTTTGAAGTTTGGTGGAGGAGTTGTGTGTTGTTACCCTCCCACAAATGCCAACTTTTAATTGTTTTTTATTTAGAATATGTACAAACTATGCAGCATTCATGTATAAAGTTCTGTTCAATCTGACCATAGAGTACTATGTTAATAAATCATAAGTTCCTAGAATCACATAAAAGGGTTTGGGTTGGAAGGGACCTTTAAAGATGATCTGGTCCCTCCACAAGTTCTTAGGCAAAGCGCAGCAGACTCATTTTAACCTTCTGGATCTTTCATCTATTAAATCTCGTAACCCACAAAAATAAAAATATTTACCATATAAAATGAAAGCTGTCCACAAGAATTGCTAGAGAGCTGCAGGTTTCACAATTTATAGTGTTGATGCTTTTTAATTATTTTAATCATGAGGGGTTTTCAGCTAACTGAACTGCCTAACACTACTGTAGCTGGCATTAAGCTGATGTTGCCATCGTGCTCAAACTAACACAACTTTATTGAGACATTGGAAAAAAAACAAAAGAATTCATTCAGTCTGATATTCAGAAGCCATTCCAAAAGTTTCTAGAAAGCTCTTGTTCTGTAATTCTGGAGGCATAGCTTCTTGCTTTCACAAATCACTTCCAGGTACTAAAACGTGAGACAAATGCAACTCCAAACAATGGATCACGGGCCCTTGAGTCATAATTCTTATGATCTAAAGTGAACTTAATTATTTTACTTTTGCTCAGTTACATTAAACATTAACATAAAACACATTCTTCTGATCTAGTTTTCATGAAAACAGCTACTGAAATTTGTATATGGTTTTCTGTAAGAGGAGTACTTGGCTTAACTACTTACTACTGTGAAAGATTAGAACACGAAGCCCTCTACATTTTGGAATTTGTTAGTTTCTGTAAAAGAAGTGCGCTTCACCCTGGATACGTGGCTACAGCTAGTACAATGATTTATTTTTCTAAATGGAAGAAAAGCAAAATGATTCCTTCTTATGAAAAAATAGACTTTTTGGTATGCGTACACATTCATTTAAAGAAGCCAGCAAAAGTAGTTAGCCGAAATGTAGGAGTGTTTAAAAACAAGTAAGAGACTTGTCAGAAAAAAAGAGTCAAGTCAGTCATTTACAGTCCACCTGCTCTTACAGTGATGGATAGCATTCCTCTTCTATGGATCGGTACAGTATAGGCATCAATACAAGTGCAGTAATCCAAGACAATAAAGTACAGTAAGTACAGTGCTGCATGCATAAATAGTAAGTACAGTTTCCAAATGCATATGGAAATCTGGAGACAAAGTAATGGATCTAGAGCTAAGTTAGAGAAGGAGCTTTTCCTGGAGAGCGCTTGCAAATAAATACCGGTATCCAAGATGCACCTTAGTGAAAGGTATTCCAAATATGAGAAACTGTTAGGCTTGCTTAACATTTATGTAAAAACGAAGAAGTGGAAAACTTTTATCTTGTTTTTACAGATAGGAGCTGCTTTATGTAGGTAAACCTAGAAGGATTAACTTTTCTAAGCAGTCATATGAGTGTCAAAAGAATGGATCCATCATTCTCTACTCACTGAACCGCTAAGCCCAAGTTACTTCTCCATCCCCTACTAGGTCTAACACAGACTTTTTCCCTGCCACTCTTAATAGGATAAAACAAGACACTAGCGCTCACTGAAACAGCTCTGATACCTCCACAATCTTCAAGATCAATGCAATATATGCAAATCACTTTTTAGCTGAGTATTGAGTGGAACAGTAGACTGCTAAAAATAAAGTTTAAAGCAGAGGGAGAAATTGGTTGCTGTACCAGGGGTTGAAAAGAAAACATTATTTCTTCTAGGAGGAGGAGTCAGAAGAGAGACCATAACAACAGACGGAATACTTAGGCATGAGATGTTGACCAATTAATAGACTTGAGTTCTGAACGTTTTTCCTAATCATTATGACTGTATCTTACACTTTTTACAGAAGTTGAAAGGAAGCAGTAGAAAAACCTAGAGAAAGGAAAAATACAGCTGAGTAAGAAGGAGAGGAAGGGGAAATCAAACAACCCATTTCCTAGAGAGAAGAAACACTCTTCCAAAAAATTAAAGTTAACGGATACTTACCAGTGTCATGATACCCAGTCTGTCCACTTCCCGAGCTGGACTATGTGGAATCCGCCTTGGGGTGGAGCGGCCACTGCCAGGCGGGGAAGAACCAGCAAGTGAGCCACTTGCATAGGGAGGAGGAATGGAGCTCATGGACCGGAATCGGCCATGGGCATCCAAATTTCCACTACCCACTCTGCTTTCAATCTCCTCTGCGCGTTGCTCTGTGTTTTCCTTTTCTTCTTGTATAAGTCTAAAAGAAAAAGTTTCAAAGCAACATGTCATTCAAGCAAGTACCATATAGACAGAATGGCTACTTGGGCATTAGAAAGAAGCAGTAGAAGCACACTGAAAAATCTTCCAAACCAA